CCCAGGAGCTGGACCTTTCAAACGAAGCAAATTGGGCGGCCGTCGCTTCTCACCCCTTCAAAGATTGCGGCGGCATCGAGTCCAAGTGATGATGAGGAAGAATAGTCGACTTTTTCTTTTTTTTCCCCGCCACCAACCAACCCTTGTTTTTGTCCCGAAAGTGTCTTGATTTTAGTGTGACCCCCCAAGTGTCTTGGTTTTAGTGTGTGTGACCCCCAAGTGTCTTGGTTTTAGTGTGGTTCACTACTATCCTGATTTTAGTATAGGGGGCGCGACATGGATCGTTGAGTAGAGGGGGGGGTTGGATGAGGGCCCTACTGTTGCTTGCTTTGCCCCGTAAGTGTCTTGGTTTTAGTGTGGTCCCCCCAAGTGTCTTGTTTTCAGTGTGGGGGCCACTATTATTCTGTTTTTAGTATGGGGGACGCGTCATGGATCGTTCAGTAGAGGGGGGGCTAGGTTTAGGGTCAGGGATAATTCTTGGTATTTTTGCCTTGTTTTTGTCATTGCCCCGCCCCCCCCGCCTGGTCGGAGGGGGCAGAATACATGCAAAATGCGGCCTTTTTCAGGCCGACTGGTTTTTCTCGGGCGCTCATGCACGCGGGGTGGCGCATGCATATAAAATAAAATAAATGTTTCTTGCTCAAAAATCTCCGAAGATTTCAACAAAAAAATTGAAAAACAGATCGGACACGGCAAAGGGCCCGTACAAATTTAGGTACCCTAACTTATGATACAGAGGAAGTATATATATATTTCCTTCTTTCGGAAAAAATTTGAGCCTGAAAAAGTTTAAAAAAACAAAAGGAACTAGGAAGGGAAGATAAAATTAAACGAAAAGAGCGAGGACAAAAAGGGACCAGGCCGAAAATAGCAAGAAATAACAGCCAGAAAAAGGCACGGTGAGAGACCACTAACGAACAAGATAACACGCAAACAAGGCCACAAACCAGCGATACACTGAAATGGTACGTCATCGCTAGTGGGGTGTAGGTGCAATGGTGCAGCGTTGGGGGGGGGGAATGAGCTAAAATAAATTCAATCCGGCACGTATCGCGCCACTCGGTCCGTTTCTTTTCGTATGCTTTCTTCCCTCGCCGTCTCGTCCGTCTCCTGCCCCCCTCCCGCCCCATCGGTTGGTGGCTTGCGGTTTCGTTTGAGCGCCCGTTGTCGGCTGGCCTCTTCTTCCTTCTCGTGCCAGGAGGTCATGAACCTCTCAGCTCCCTGCAGCACCGCCACATGCCAGGGTACTCCCCCCTCTACCTTCGCGGCTTCCGTCCACTTTAACGTCGGTGCCGTGTCTTTCGGTACCGGGATTCCGAAACAACATGGATCGGTTTCGTAGATCCGTGGTCGGCCCCGATTGCCTTCAGGTCCTCGAGCACACACTTTCGCCAGTTCTGTTCCTGTCCCCCCCTACGTCGCTTCTCCCCCCCTGACAGTTCGCCGAACATTAGTCGTTTCGGGAGTCGCCCGTGCGGCTGCCTTGCCAATGCTCCCACGTATTAGAGTCTAGGCGTCGTTGTCGGATCGTGGCTTGCACGCTCTGGCATCCCACTTTCTTCAGCGTCTGGGCGTATGACAGCTAGCGGCAGGTGTCGTTCTTGCGCCTGTACCCGATAACTCGAAGGAGCTGTGTGTGTACCGCAGCGTCTGGTAGTGGCTGCTGAGTGGTGACCATGTCATGCAGCCTTACTACAGCAGTGCCTCCATCGCCTCCGCCTGGAGCAGGCGGATCTTGAGTCGGGATGGCGCTTTCGGCACGCCCACGCTCCTCTGTTCCTGTAGTTGATCTCCCGGGTGAGGTACCTACGTTCATTAACGAGGCCACCGAGGTACCGGAACTCGGTCGTCTAGGCGTATTTCTGTCCCGTGGCTTCGATGGTCAGCGGCGGAGGCGGGGGGGGCTGTGGTGTTGTAGTCGCCTTGTCCGCGCATCAGGAGCGTCTCCGTCTTCTCCGATACCGTCAGCCCGACCTCCCCGAACACCTCAACGATGATGGTGGTCATCATTCTGCTCAGTCCTTCTGCAGACCTCGATGCGATGCCGGCATCATCGGCATCCAGCATCCCCCATACTGCCCTCCGTACCCGTTCAAGGGGTGTCTCTTCCCCCCCCCCCGCTTGCGTCTTCCCTCCTCCAAGAACACCAGGCTCCGCAAAACAACATCATCCTCGCTGAATCGGATGACGACGACCTCGAGGACCTCGGCGAAGAGGACGTTAAACAGCAGTGGGGATAGCACACATCCTTGTCGAACGCCCTGTGTCACGAAGAACCAGTTCGACAGTTCTCCGTCGTTCGTGCGCACCCGGGCCCGCATTTCATCGTGGAACTGGCGGATGACTTCATGTGATCGGCAGAACGCCTTTTCCATTTTATCGGGGTGGAGAGTAACATTCCCCCGCCGGAGGCAAGCAAGTCTAGGAGGAACGAGGAAGCGATGAGAGAAAGAGCGAAAGGAGGGGGGGAGCGAGGGGGAGAGCCGGAGCGACAGAGAGAAGAGATAGGAGGGTGCCTACTCCGACGAAGCTCTCAATAACGGTGCCAGCTACAGTAGGGAAAAGCTGATTGTGACACAATCAGGCCTGGGTTGCGTCGGTCGGCGGGCCATTCGGAAGGCCATCACTCTACTTACCAAAAAATACCCACAACGGCAACACGGCACCTATCTACAGGTCCATGACAAGGCTCTGTGATCTGTAAACAGGAAGCACAACAATGGCAAGGCACTGGGTTACATGCTGCATGGCGGTCGCTCTTCTCGGTTCGGTGAGGGCTACGCCAATGGGGTTAGGAGTTTGGCTGAGCCAGAAGGATTTGGCAACTTGTTGTGCCGCAATTTGCGCTGCTGCTCGTGCTTGCGTAACACCACCCCGTTCGCACCCGTTGTCTTGTCGAATAGGTTAGGCTGTTTGTTTATTTTCCAACGAGTGGAAGCGCCCCTCAAGGATGGGAGCGAGTCTCGGCTGACTCCATTCGCTGTCTTTTCCGGGCTACACTACAGAGCTTTTTGTACGTAATATAACACACCCCCTGGACCGATTTCCAACCTCAATTCCTCCTACGCAGCAGAAAAAGTGGAAGTACCGCACAACGGCGGCGTTGGGACCATCTTGTCGAGAGCTTTCCGAAAACGTATGGTCTCATTCATGCACTCTCTTCGTCGTGGAGAAATCGAGCTTTGAAAATCGGTCCAGGGGGTGTGGTATCTTAAGTCACTCACGGTATTTGAGTAGAACGTAAGCAGTGGGTCCTCACGGCATGCACTCGCCGTGTTATCCGCTCGGGTTGAACCTAATTCTCAAGCTTAGTGTCCCAAAACAGCACAAACATGCGTCAAATACGACAATGGCTGTGTCGGTGTAGACCTTCTGGGGAGCTCTTGGAAGACAGGTGTGTGTGTGTTGTGTTTTCGGTGTAGTTGCTCTTTATTGCGCGTGCAGCCGCCGATCGTGGAAACTCAGATCCCCATTGAGGTGTGCTTTTTTTTACTCCTTTCACAACATGCGCAATACTGTAGAGATCCTGCTTACGTGCGGCCGAAATTCCGTGTCGCGCCTTCGATTCCTGTTCAGCGCGGTCACCACCCCTTAATATGAGATGCACATGTATAGAGCGCTCACCGCACTACATGGAAGCACCGAACACATTTCGGACGTTGTTGAGGTTGTAAAGCACGATGGAGTGGAAGAAACGGCAGGATGTATGCCGACGGGACAGGGTAAAGTTTTTCGGGGTCCCGAGATTAGCCGGTAACTTTTTGGAACACGCCACACGCTCAATCCCCCATCTCCCCCGCCTGTGGTCGGATGCGACAGCAGCTCCTCCCGCAGTGGTCGTAAATACATTGCTTTGTGCACTGCCTATTGCTCTCCTCGAGTCTGTCGTCCGGTTGCCTTTGCGTTCCGTCCGTCGACCCAACCACCTTATCCCTCCTTTGTTGAAACCCAACAGTGCTCGCACTTTCGTGATGTTCTTGTTGAGGTTAAGACATATCGAGGTGCCGCGTAAATAGCATTCTGGGTCGATGGTCAATAAACAACGCCCATGAACCGATGGGTCCCCCTTCGCCCCCTACCCCGGCTCCCTTTGTCGTATTTATGGTTTGACGACCTCGTTCCTGCTACGCTTGGGCTAGACGCGAGGCGAACAGATTGTCATGCCTGAGGAGGCGAGCACAATCTCAGAAAGGAGTAGCCCTACATATCAGCATACTCGGTTACCACAGGTGACGAAAAAACGCCAGGGCAAGCAATTGACTTACATAAGTACAGTGTCGACACGTGATTCCAACACGTGCCCGTCGGAGTGAGTGGCATGTCTGCTCGGAACCTGTTGGAATCCTTGCGGGAGCTCTTGAGTAGAATATCAGTCGAACGGAAGGTGGAGTTACCGTTGCACGGCCGTTGACTTCGGGAGGTTGTTGCTTATGCCGTGCGTCCATGCTGTGCATTCTCGTAGCAATCATGTTTCATGCACCCCAGCCGCTCGCCGTCTCCGGACCAACATGATTCCCGTGACTCTATTGTTTCATCGCTTGTCGTTTGGCGTCACGTTGACACCCCATCAAGGGTCAGCACGGCAACGGCGGGACGTCAGGCTGCAACACCTTTCTCCCGCCCCAGACTCACGCAAAGACATGAGTTCGTCTCTCTTTTTGAGGGATTGCCTTTGCCCAAGAGAACACGCCCATGAACCCTCACTATAGCGAAGTACTTCCGTGTTCCAGGTCAGCGAAGGCGCTCGCAGAAGTTACCAGCCGGACTTCGGAGATAGACAAGAAGCAATTACGCGAAATGGAAGACTTTTGCCAGGTAGATCTTGGGGGACGCAACTGATAATTCGAGCTGCCTGTAATGATTGGGAGCAGCTCGTTCGTCCAAATTTGTCCAATTTTGTGGAGAATTTGTTTCTGTACTGTCTGGGATAGCGACCATGCAATTCCACCGTTGTCTCTCAGAGTGTCCTGCCGCTCTCCATTCACGGATACATGCCCTGACAATACACGTGTCTGCGCAACAGATTTTTGCTTTCTGTTGGCACGTAATCGTGCAAAGCCAAGACGAACATGTTGATCGGAGCTCATTGTTGCGCGACAGTCGTTATTGACTATGTAAGATATTCTTGAATGTTGTATGTGCTGTTGCCGCCGTTGTTGGCGTTTTTTTTGCAGCGAGACCCAACGAACGCACTCGCTGAACACACGGTGCCACACACGATAACGTGTCTCCTTGATGAACATTGTCTACGGTTCGTACACAACCGACTGTGCCCGATTCTATCCTTTTCCCTGCAAGTTGCAGATGGCTCTGACCACGGAGAGGTATCTGGGCTTGAGGAGACAGCAAAGTGTCGAGAGCTTCTGAACTTGATGGTCACGGAGAGCGCGGGGAAGACCGGTGGACAGGTGAGATATGGCCTGTTTTCGGCATCGCCGATCTTTGTCTTTTTCCAGGCAAGCCCGAACCTACGGCTTAGCTGGGGCACTTGTGAAGAGCAGGCAAGATATCAACCCGAGCCCACACCCAACACAAACACGCTCTGGACCCAGAAGAACTCTGAGATGTGGATTGGGAGCGAGCTCGTCAATCTGGAGCAGAAGTTCGGCTGATTCGACGGTACTGCCAGACGCTAAGATGTTCTTTCGCACATGACGTGCACCTCCTATGCGGCTCGTATAAGTTGCAGGCAACAGCGTGCCAACTGCATACGACGAAACCAGGGCGAGCTCTGCGACCACCTCGTGTCAGTAAATTGCCGGTGTTATTCCAATACGATGCTTACCTTGTGCTAGCCCCGCACGTTGGCTTGTACATCCCATTTCCTGAAATAATAACCCGGCCTTGCCCATGCACTCGGACTTTCACTGCGAAAAACCGAAACGTGAAGCATTCCTGCCTTGGAAGACCGCGTCGACTGCCTCTCACAACAGTACCCGAGCCCCTCCCGTACAACGAAAGCATCCACACCGTACAGCAGAAAAACACCTTGGGCGTGAGCCTACAGAGCCGAATATTCCCGCTCAGATATCAAAAATTTGCGTAAATCGTTTTATTGCTAGGCCGGACTACACCCTTGAGGATGGTGTGCCGTCGTCAGGCGCATCACCTACCTTCCAAGTCATCTGTTGCCTGTCCATACACCTCAAGCCTTTGTTTTCCACCTGCTATGGACTGTTCCGCATCACGAATGTTTCTCCGGTCAAGAAGCTTGGGGCCGCCTCGACTGTCGTGTGCAACCCTCAGGTGTTTGAGCACCGACAAGCCTTACATTGCGCCTTGCCAGAGGCGAGCATCGAAACGACGAAGCCCCCAGGGGTATCGTGTACCCCCAACTCTTGGAATAACCAGTGTTATTTTCCCTTCCTGCGCACACTTCCATCCCTAACTCCCTTCTCGCACAGAAGTGCAACGTGGCTTTCGTCAAGACTCACAAGACGGCGTCGACTACGCTGGCCATGATCTTCGTGCGGTACGCCAAGCGCCACGACAAAAAGGTTTGCCCTCCCACCCCTGCGCACTCAATCTCAAACTGAAGCTGAAGCTGGTGTGCCAACTTGAGCACTTTGAGTAGTGCCACGAGACATTTGTACTGAATTGGACGTGCATGTCGTCCCTTTTGATTCCGTCGTTCTTCTTGACGCTAGAGCATTTTCATGCGTGGGTATTGGTGATCCCCCGCGGTACAAGCATGCTTTGATCATTCCTCAGTCCGGGCGCTCGGAGCGCTAAATTGCCGAAAAGATGAATCAGGGATGGTGTTTCTGCTGCCGATGTTCTTGGTGTTGGTACGGATGGCGGTGGTGTTGGTTTGCTGCTGTTCTTGCATGTTGAGGTTTCGTAGCTGCTGGTTTTCCCCTACTTTTGTGGCGCTTGATCTTGCTTAGTGTAGATACTGCAGCTGGACCCAGGAGCCTGGCCTGCTTCCGCTCGTGGTCATTGTTGTCCCGTCTTGGTGCATATGCCCGTTATGTTCTTGGCTTACATGTCGCACGTGTTGTGCGTGTCGTCCGCATTCGCCCCTGGAATGCGTGATGCTTTGTGTTTGCTCACTACGCTTCAGCTGGCGTCGTTCGAAGGCCGGTTCGTATCTAACGTCCCTCTGGCGGTGGCAGTCCAGCAGGTACGCCTCCTCCCGTCGCGCGGAGTGTCATTCTTAGGTTTCGTTTTTGTTGTTGTTTCTCACATTAGCTCAATAGTCCACATTAATGGGGGGCCCGTGGTCGCAAAAACCCAGCACATGCGACGCCGCGGGGAAACCACAAAAAAAGTAGGGCACAAACCACTCGGAAAAAAAAAGAAAACGAAACAAAAGAACAGCTACCGCACCGGTCGAGAAAAGAGCCCTAGCATACCGATCAAAACAAGAATTCCCACACCCGCCTAATGAATCAAAGGGTAGCGTACCAGCACCAGGCACTACGCACCAGAGCGCAGGAGTAATGGAGGCAACAGAACAAAGAGGCGGCATGTGTGCGTGGTGATGAAGATTGCCATAACCAACCGCCGTTCCTGTTGGCCAATCTGGCTTTTTCACCGACTACTAGTTATTCTGCTACTGCTGTGTTCAGTTGCGCGAAAGCGTGCAGCATGTGGATGTGACGTTTGCAGTTATGTGCTATGGTGTTCGGTATAAGATCAATTGCGAAGTGTGCACGTTTGGTCCGGAATCGGCCACCGTTTGCAGCCCGTGTCCAGGCCCGGGAGTGTGGGGAGCGCGGGGGATGCTGCGTGATATGGCGCAAAGCTGAATGCTGCCTAACAGAGAGAGTGTTCTTGGACCCTCGCGCTGTCGCACGAGCGTCGCCTAGGCCCCGAAACACGGGAAGCAGCGCGTGCTTGCACCGCCCTGGCGCTGTTGTGCGTGCTGTTTCCATCAACTGTTATTCTCTTACGCTGGTGTCCTTTCTCTTACTTGGTGGTCTTGCTCAGGTCCAAGAAAGCGGGCAGCGCGTGGACGTGATGCACTACCACGTCCACGAGGGTGTCTGGGAGGGGACCTGGGAAGACAACACCAACATGTACCAGCAGATAATGCAGGTATGGGTTGTGCTATGTGCACGTGAGTGTCTGACCATGCAGGTGTGGGTCGTCGTTGTTTCCTTGTGTTGTGATCTTTGGCGTTGCTGTCGCTAGTGTTGCTGTCGTTCCTGGTGCTGGTGTGGCTGTTGCTGTTGCTGCTGCTGTTGCTGCTGCTGCCGTTATGGCCGTGGCAATTTGTGCCGTTACGTTTGCCGCTGCTGCTTTGCACACGGGCCGCTTCACCAGTGCGTTCAGCCTTTCTGCGGAACATATTGTCCCCAAGAAAACCTTGCTCTTGCCCCTTGCTGTTGTTGTTGTGGTTGTCTTGCAAAAATCAATTGAGAGAGAACGGATGTGTGGTTGTGCTGGCAGGATGCGGAGCCGATCAACTACATCACGGTGGTTCGAAGTCCGCGGGAGCACTTCTTGAGCTACTACTATTACTATATGCAACCGATGAACAAGGTTGGCCGGTGTGGCGGGAGGCCATGCGTCCAGTCCGCCTGATGGTGGAATTATTTGTTGTCCCAGCAGAGCTCTGTGAGGGAAGGTCTGCGACGTTCATTCCTCTCATGGCGGACATTTTCCTGTAGGCATCAATGGTTTCTCAGCGTAAGGGCTTTGGAGAGACTCACACCACTTTCAGTATCGAGAAGGTACAGTACTCAACCTTCACTGATGTTTGCCTTTTGGGTTTCCTTCCCCAGCATGTCTGAACAGGGATTCTCCCTGCCGCAGAGGACGTGAGCGAAGTTTGTGACAACGACAGGCGATGGATGCTCCCTTTTCCCTCCTTGATATTTTTCAAGTTTCTTTGTTTGGTATTCTGTATTCGTTGATCGGGAAAAAAGCGGGCAAAGCCTCACCTCTCCGGCAGGGGTGCGCAACAAAGCGTGTCTGTCGTCTGAGGGACGCCAACCTCACCGACAAACGCTTATTTTATCACCTGCCAGTTGTCGATCGAGCAGTACCTTGAGCGAACGAAGAGGCACCCCGCGCAGCATATGATGAACCCGATGTGTCTGGAGTTCGGGGTGCACGACGAGGATCAGCTCGACATCTTCATCGAGAAACACCTACCAAGCTTCGCTCTGGTAAGGCTTGATGCTCTCGTGAGGCTTGTGTCCGTCGCGCACCGTTTGTTGCTGCTTGGTGCTACCCATGCAGTTTGTTTTAGTACTAATTTCCGTGTTGTAATGTCAGCTAGACGTTTTCATCGAGAACCATCTGCCAGGAGTTAATACTTTCCCGCAATTACGCTTTGATGTTTGGCCTTCATTGAGCCTCACACGCACTTAAACCAGGTTAACAGCAGTTGCGAGGAAGATTGTATCTCGACGTTATGGGACCCGCCTTTTCCAGCTACATATCAGCGTGACACGTTTTTCTGGCAACCCGCTAACAGGCCTTCTCCTGGCACGACTATCACCTTAGTGTTGATTTGTGTCGTCGCACGCTCACCACGCTTGTCTCGATACTCCCCCTCCCCCCCCCT